CTCAAATGGTGATGTCCAGTTTAGAGGAACTACAATAGGCATTGAGATCAATCGTTGCTTCATCTTAGTAAATACGCCTAGGAAAAACTTGTCGAACACAAAGGGTTAGTTTTGTTGAAGCAAGTACATAAGGTCTTAGAGATTTTCGAAAAATCCTTGATGAATCTTTTATAAAAGCCAGCGTGTCCAAGAAAACTCATGATGCCCTTGGAAGAGGTAGGTGGTGGTAATTTTTTAATCACTTAAATCTTAGCTTTATCCACCTCAATGCCCTTATGGGATATATTGTGTCCTAATACAATGCCCTCAGTCACCATGAAGTGACATTTCTCCCAGTTCAAAACCAGGTCAGCCTCCTCACATCTTTTAAGAACATTTTCCAAATTACCAAGGCATCGCTCGAATTCATCTCTAGAAACAGAGAAATCATACATGAATATCTCAAGGAAGTCCTCAACCATGTTAGAAAAGATGACTTGCGTGCAAACTGAAAAGTTGTTGGGCATTACAAAGTCCAAAAAGGATCCTCCTAAAGGAAAAAGTACCATAGGGACATATGATTGTGGTCTTCTCCTAGTCCTCTGTTGTAATGGTAATTTGATTGTACCCAGAATACCCATCTAAGAAGCAGTACAATGCTTTACCGGCCAATTAATCCAGCATTTGATTGATGAAGGGTAGAGGCAAATGGTCATTCTTTGTAGCTTTGTTGAGCTTACAATAATCCATGTATATCCTTCAACCAGAGACACTGCGCGAGGGCAATATCTTATTATCTTCATTGGTTACCATAGTCGTGCCATCTTTCTTGAGCACACACTGGACAATGCTCAACCATGAGCTACTAGATATGGGGTAAATCACTCCAGCTTCAAGCCATTTAATTATTTCTTTAATCACCACTTTATTCATGACTGGATTGAGTCTTCGTTGTGGTTCTATCGAGTTGCCATGATATTCTTTTAACAAGATCGTATGTATGCAAATTGTGGGACTAATCCCCTTCAAATTAGCCATAGTTCATCCAAGTGCTTTTTTATGCTGTGAAAAAACACTTAATAAACTTTGTTCTTGGTTAGTAGTAAGGCTAGAGGAAATAATCACAGGGAAATTATTTTCACTACCCAAGTAAACATATTTAAGATGACCTAGAAAAGGCTTTAGCTCCAGGGTAGTTGCATGCAATAATGATGGCTTAGGAGGAATAAATTCATCAAAATCAAGGGGTTCAAAGTGCATACATGATCTAGCTACTAGTAAGCTAGATTACTTCACCCCAACTGGTAATTTGTCGTGCTCCTCTATGCTTTCATCGTCATTAGGTCATTCATTGTCTGCTAACTGGATGAAATTGCTTTGGCAAAGTTGTTCGGTTTCTTCTTCCATCAAGGAGTTCATTTCAAAAATATCTTGGAATTCTTCAGAGTCATCAACATACTGGAGAGTACGAAAAACATTCGTTCAGTAGAGCGTTGTATGTTTTTCAACATATTAGTGATAACTGAGAGTTGAGCGAACACTGAGTCCTTGGTATCTAACTCAAGTACCCCAGGTGCTTTTCTCTCAGTTGTAAGCCTTGAGGAAGGAAATTGATAGTCATTATTGGTAATTCTATCCAAAATATCAAATGTCTCAGTAGGTGATTTATCAAGCAATTTCCCATTTGCCGAGGCATCGAGCATCATCCTCATGTGGGCATTGACTCCATTATAAAACATAACTACTTGAGTCCAGTCATGAAAACCATCATTAGAACAAAACAAACCCTTGTAACGATCCCAACATTTATACATAGATTCGTCATTACCTTGGCAAAATGATGACATGTCATTCCTTAGCTGAGTGTTCATGCTGGACGGGTTATAGCGAAATAGAAAACTTTTACAAAGATCTACCCATGAATCCATCGAACCAGATGGAACACCACTCAACCAAGCCCTCACATCTTCATGCACTCCTTGTTGGCTGAAAGAATCACAAACCTATAAAAAGTTGTGAATAAGCTGCCTATCATTTTCAATTTGCATGCCCCCAAATTGCCCTATATAATTTCCATATTGAACATCACAGGTTTGAGTTCGAAATGGGTTGCTTGAATTTCTGGTACCACAATTCCAGGATTTAAATCATCTAGCATAGGATTCAAATGGTCGCGAATAGAACGAGGCCTATCAGCAGGCCCAACATTGTAAAATTACTCAACATTCTGATCGACTTCTTCTTGACCAATGCCCCAGTTCCCAATGCGATACATATTTGCTTGAGCACGTTAAGAATATCTCATTTTCCTAAAAGTCTCTCAATCTCAGGTTCAATTGGCTCTAATGGAATGCCTTATGATCATACACAAAGTAAGCCTGAAAAAGAATAAAGTAAAATATCAAGTAAAATATACAAAAATAAAGAAGGAAAATAAAATTCTATGGCAAACTAATTAACTTCACGTTGTCAACGACACCAAAAACTTGTGTGTTGTGAGTACTAATAAATTATATGCAAATGATATGCAAGTATATATAATCACAATAACTAATATAATGATAAGTTAGTATCGTCCTCCGGGATTGGTGGAAATTATGTGTTTGACCACATCACTACACTAATTTATCTAAGTACAGAAATGATATATACACTGATGATGCTTCATTAATAGAGATATGAGGGTGAATGGGATTATGGTAAAGGAATGTAATTATGTCGTGGAAAGAGAACAGTTTATAATGAGAAAATTGAAAATACTAAGGCAATGTAAAATAGTAAAAATATCAAATAAATGGAATAGCTTGATAATCCTCAAACGGGAAACTACTTCTCGAATAAATTGTGGGGAGTCACTTAAGGAGTTGAAAACTTATCTTTCTAGCTGATCTAATCTTCTAATTCTTTACTTGTTTGACAGAGTTTGCTAAAAGTGTTCTCGCTATATCTAGTCTAAGAACCTAACAGAATAGAATGTCACAACATCTCCTCTCAGTCTCAACTATGACAACCTACACTGTTGAAAACACACTACCCCTCTTAGTCGTTGAAATCCTAGCTTAGTCTCTCTCAAGTAATAAGGGATTAGGCCATAGTGATTAACTATACCCAATTTCTTATGTTAATCACACATAAGTTTCTCTCGAATACTTAAGAATTAGTGACTAGACTTCACTCAAACATCTAGTCCTTATTTAAGAAATATACACTCTCATGCCTTGTACATTCTTAGAAGATGAAGCACACATAAACAAAACAAGTAAAAACAAAAGATAAACATTCATCAACCATTAAAATAAAGTTTCAAGCATCCATTGAATGAACCCCACCAAATATAGCTTAGTTCATGGTTGGGTTTGAACAAACCATGGAGTATACCCAATTGTTCATTCGACCTTACAACCCAAATAAAGTTTAAAGCTTTAAAAATGGAGCAAAGGTTGGAAAAGAAAGAACTAGGTGTACACGGCCGAAACTTCCTTCAAGCCACCATGAACGGCTATAGCGCGAGCTCTTCTCGGATGCTATGTCACTCCCTCAAGCTTCACCAATGGAGGAACACCAATAAAAATTGAGAAAGAAGAAAAAAAGAGCTGACGTGCTTTAATGGCGGTAGAGAAAATGGAGAAGATGATGATTTTCCAAGATTGTCTCTCTCTTTTGTGAGGTGTCCTTATAAATAAAACATCTAGGGGTATTCTTGGGAAATTTTTCACTCAAAATACCCATCATACCCCCAAATTCATTCCTTGTGCGTGAAGTTTATCCCCATAGGTGGTAGTGGGCCCCATTCAGACGGTTACTAGCAATAGACACGTGCTTTGACATCTGTCATCTTGTGAAAAATATATCTTTTTCTTTTTCTGCGCTAGAAATGCCAAGGCATTGCAGTCTGCTTCAGCAATATGTGATGATGCGACATTCTTCTTAGTTTTCCCTATGATTCTTGTTCCTACACATCACTAATCATCCACACCTTTCCCATGATATAAAACCTTAACAAAGTAAAAATAACACAATCACCACAAATGCAACTACATGCAACTACATGAATCTAAAATGACCTATATTAACCCTTGGACAAACAATAACTTAAGTGAAAAAATCCTTAAAAGTAGCCTTTTTATAGAGTTATCAGCTAGGTCTCAGGTCAAGTCACTTTATGACATTTCCTCAATTAAAGGGGACAAATATTGTACCCTGCTAAAAATTTTCTATAGACATCATCCACGTACCTCACAAACACCAGAGGACCCCAAAGCATACCTAACCCTCCGACATCAAGTGAACTCTAGAAGATGTAAAGGGAGCATCTCCAGAGAAAAGATCTCAAAGAGCTAAACCTTGGGAATGTGGGACTAGTAGATGTGACTTTTGACATGTCCACATGACCTATCAAAACAAAATCCACACCCTCTTGACCATATCCATTTAGTTTGTGAGTTTATGAGTAGCCAATATAATCCTACGAATGAACATGCACTAACGAGTCTTTATATAACATCTCGAGCATGACCGAGAAACGTGATACAGCCTAAATGAAATCACCTCACCTTAACTCTTATATGTTCTACCTCTTCAGGGAGAATGAGCACTCTGACACCAGTGAATGACCGATTTACCATCAACTGTAACTATTTACTTAAATTATAAATGGCGAATTGTTAATAATCGTCATAATTCATTTGAACTCATCAACAAATATATTAATATATAATTTTATATATCGTTAATGAATTAAATGATGAGTTATTATAAAAAATTAACATTATTATTTTTTAACAATGTGATAACATTTAATCCACTAATATTACATAAATATATAAATCGATGTATTAACCCTATTAAAGTCTATTTACATTACAGAAATTTTTAATATAATTTATTCATACAATTTGGAGATGAAAGTTGTGACTAAAGTAAAAATTATATATAAAAAATGATGGGAAAGGCCCACACCAGAGCATGAGTAAATTTTGGCATAAGAATAAGAAAGAGTAAAGCGTGAAAGACAGGCATACAAAAATATATGAAATAATAGAGAAGAGAAAAGATGTAATATGTTCAACGGGATTGGTTCAAATGGAAATCAACTTATAATCGTTTAATTAGGTTTTGAATTCGAGTTTTTATATATGTAGAAAAAATTTGCTCAGAGATTCCATCAAAGCCAAATGTGCGACTTAGGTCGGTCCGAATTAATCAGGTCGAAGTTTTGGGAATCATAAATAGCAGCAAAAAAGGATAAACCACGTATTTAGTACCTATACTATCAGTTTTGATCCGTTTTAGTATTTAAACTTTCAATTTTTTCAAAATCATACCTATCATTTAGTTTTTGTTTCATTTTAGTATTCCGTTAAAAACTTAATGTTAAATTTTGAAAATTGAAAGTTTAGGCACTAAAGATAATCAAAACTGATAGATTAGGTACTAAACGCGTTAAATTTTTAACACGGAGTATTAAAATAAAATAAAAACTAAACGTTAAATATGATTTTAAAATAATTAAAATTTTTTATATTAAAACAAATCAAAATTTATAGTTTAAATACTGAACGCGTAGTGTACCCAAAAAGAAAAGATGTATTATGGCACAAAAGGCAGGGACAAACGGGCAAGCGGTGGTTTGTTCACATTGCCCACATGCTTTGATGAGGTATCTGCCTGTCCGTGAGGGGGCACGTACTTGACTGGATTTGGCCCCACGCTCACCGCCTTCTCGCAACGACAGCTCAACAACCCCCCATTCCCCGATTTCTTCTTCCCACCATTGCTAACCCCTGTGGCTGAGCCTCTCATGTTCATGTTCATCATCTCCTCCGCTTCAACTGACCCTCTCTCCAACCCTTCTGCCGTCGTCACGCTCCACTCTATGCTAGCCTCGCTCGGTTCGTAACACTCGGTTGTCATTGGCGAATAGGTACCTGAGCCGTTGCCCGAACCTCCTATCGATCTTCTTATGTTGAAGTTGGACGCCTCGTCCAACGAATCTCGACGATGGTACAGTGGATTCGACGTGGAAAAGCTCTCGATTTCGAACAAGTCTGAGCTGGTATCACTGCCAACATCATCGTCAGCTATGGAAGTTCGGGGAACCAGTTTCTTTGGATTCGAAATAGATGGTGATTCATCGGATGGTCGGAACAACTCCAACGAGTGTCGAGGTGGATAATTGTGATCATCAAGAGAATTATGGTTTCTATTATGTTGGTTAAGTATTGGAAACGTGAAACCAGCAGTAGTAACGGCGGAGCCACCATCACTTATCATCAGGGGTCTTGCTGTTGCAGTAGCAATCACACGCTGTCCTAAGCTAGAACGAAACTGATTCTCAACTGAGATCCTGTAAGGATTACAGGCTAATAGTATCTCTTCACGTTTCTGATCATGGTGTATGATATTGCGTTTCTGATTGGAACCCAAGGGTGTTTTCGGCTCAACTTGAACGGACTTCTTACCGGAGCAGGGACACCTTCGTCCCCAAAGCCATTTCATTTTACTGGACCCTTTTGTCTTGTGATCAGTTGTTGTAGGAGTTTTCATGATCATAGACACCGGAATCGCACCAGGAGGATTCGACAATAAACCAGTCTGGCTGTTCCAACTAGCCTCAGGCGAAGCCGTCGGTGTTGCATGGAACGAACGAGCTCGGTGGCTCCTGCCATAACCATACCCATCAGCAACTGACGAAGCAGAAGAGAATCTACCGGCTAACGCCGAGGCAGAAATATCACACCGGAGCTCCGGTGAAATAGGATCCTTCATTGGAGAATTTCTTTTGCACACTCTTGCATCGCCGTTGGTTTCATCGAAGTATCTCTGTGCATCGAAAATGCTAATGTCCATGTCTTCATCTGCAGATACGTCTACCAGGGAGCGTTCTTGAGAGCTTCTTACTCCATTGATGCTTTGTACTATTAGTTTTGGATTTCCCATCATCTTCAACCAGAATGAAAGAAATTAAGGAGGACGACAATGGATATATGGGTATAGAATTGTGTATCAAGTACGCATATTTACAGGTGTATATGTAGAGGCTTGATACGATGTTTATCCAAAACATCAATCATACACTACGAAGCGTACTCCAGCACCTGCGGTCAATTTTTTCTACCAAATGATGAAACCAACATTCCCTGTTTATTCCATAAATACATGAATACATTTTATTACAAAACTAGTGATTTCGGTGATAAAACAATTATTGTTTTTCTATGAGATCTCATGTTGGATAACTACGAATATCAAGGGTGTAAGTGTTCAATGTCAAACACTTGAGAGTTATCTTTAAATCGATACTATCATATACTTACCTCATTAATACAATATATACATTAGGATCCACTAACACAATGTAAAACTCGTTAGTTTTACATAAATTTAAAACCGTTTGATAAATAAAAATAGATGATTGATATTAATTTATCCAATGATAAATCTGTGTAAAACTAAAAAAAAATTATGTGTGTGTGAAGCCATTTAAGCTTTAATTCATAATCACATGTAGGAATGTTTTTCCATGGGAATCGACTCCATTTTATAAATATTTAAATTCATCTATAAATTATGCATTTAGTCATTCAATTATTCAATCGGTTTTATTTTGGTTATTCAATTATTTTTTATTTTAAAATCATACTTAACGTTATGTATTGGTTTTATTCTGATCACCCACAATTTGAAAGTTAACAGAACTACTAATATAGTATTTTTCTCACTGATGACATGGCATTACCTTATGATGATACATCAACATCACCTTTAATTTTTTAACAATGGGTGCTCAAAATGAAATCAAAACCTAATTTTATGTATGATTTTGAAAAAGATAATTGAATGACTAAAATAGAAACGAATAATTAGATGACTAAATGTGTACTTTACCCTTTTATTTAATACATTATTATTTGGTTTTGACTCAAACCACGAAATAATCTTTTCAATTCTAGCTTGATAGTTTTAAATTTTAAAGAAAATTATATATTATTTTAATTTTTGTGGAATTAAATCAAATATACTTATAAAATTATAAAAATGAGTTAAAATTTATTTACACCTAATATAAATTTTTAATTTAATATCATTTTTAGATCATTGGATAAGTGAAAATAAACAACTGAGATTATTTCTTTATTTTTCGGTAAATATATTCTTATTTCTCACTATTAATGTTATTTATCAATTTTCACTTATTCAATTATCATAAAAAATATAAAATTAAAAAAACTTTATATGGTATAAATAGACCCCGCCTCTATAAAAGTTATAATATATATATATATATAAGACCTATAAAATTAAAATATATGTTATAAACTCTTATAGAAATAATTATAAAATTTTAAAAATAATAAATTACCAGAGAGAGTGGATTTTATTTAAACCTACCTAAAAATTCAACAAAAATATTATCTGAATGAAAATCGATTAAAAATATCATCCCAATAAAATGAATTATTAATAAGAAAAATCAAGTCTCATAAAACTGAAAGTTGGGTTGACAACTATAATATAGTATAAATTATTGAAGTGGTCACTTTTTGTTATTTTGATTACCAAATTTAAAAAAATAATATTTTAATTATTTGTATTATTATTTTGTAACATTTTGATCACTTGCGTTCAATATTATTAATTTAATAACGTGACATATTAATAAAAAAAAGTTTAATTTTAAATTTGACTTAAACTTTAGATAAAATATTAATTTGACATTTAAATTTAAGATAAATATCAATTTGACCATTAAACTTTAGATAAAATATAATTTGTCATTTATCATCTTATCAAACAAACAAGTTTTACAAATATCAAATGATTCAAAATCAAATGAATTCAAAATTTCATCTTGATTGAATTTTGAAATGTGTTCTCATTTATTAGGGGTTAAGCCTTGGGTTCAATTATAGGTTTGGTTTTAGCATTAAATTTTATAGTCTTTTCATTTCCCTTTTCTTTTCCTTTTTTCCTTAAAGACATTTCCCTTTTAAACCATCAGAACGTGGTTAGACTTAGATTTAATATTCTGTTGTCTTAAGTATCATATACAAGTTATAAATTGATTTTTCAATCTTATTCATGTTGTAGTTCATGAGAAATTAGTCATAACTTTCAAGTAATGAATTCAAGATCAAATTAGTTTCCAACTCTTGACCCAATGGAAATCTGTTGAACCATGCTTTATAATATTTTGATATAACAAATTAAGGCAAAATATTTTTGAACTTGATTGAATTTGTTCAAAGTTTTCAAAAATAATTCAAAGTCCATTAAACTAGAATTTGAGTACAAAACAGTTTTCTGGGTACGTAGTACCGATATTGTTCTTACAATATCGATACTATATGAACAGTACCGATATTGTTCATGTGGTACCGATACCAAAGGTAAGAGAAGTATCGATACTCTCTAGGCAGTATCAATACTACCAGTTGTTTTCCAAATGACTCAAATTCTAGAATGCAAAATAGGTACCGATACTTAAGGGGTATCGATACTACTTTACACAGAGGTATCGATACCACTTTACACAGAGGTATCGATACCATGAAGCATAGTATCGATACTGGTCAAGCCCAACGATATTCAATGACTAGTTTATTTAAATATTACAAAGGTAATATCGATACTCATTAAAGGAGTACTGATACTCCCTATTCTGGGTAGTTTTATTTTATAGAAAATTAATCCCCAATGACTCCAAAACATCCTCAACGGTTAGGAACAACAACAAACTCATTCCAACATATAAAAACAAGTTGAGGACACTTGAATAAGGTTAGACAACACCTATCCAAGTAATCAAACACAATAGAAGAGTTTTTCATTCTTATTTTCCTTTTTCTTGTAAATATTAGTGTTTTAATGAGCTTAAATTTTGTAAACACCTTCTTTTAAGAGGTTTTGTTGTTTACAGGGAATTAGTTCTAGCTTAGCCTTTGAAAAGCCAGGGATTTGTAAAGATTATCTCTTTGTCCTAGAAAAAGAAAGAATAAAATAGTGAATTTGCTAGAAAATCCTAACTAAGGAGCTTAGGTAGTGGATGTAAACTTGGTTGAGAAGTCAAACCACTATAAATACTTTTGCAAATTGTTTCATCTTTATACTCCTTACTCCCTAAACACGAAAAGCCAATTCACCCCCTCTTGGCAAATTATTCATTTAATCAATTTGAGCTTCATCAATCCCGACAATTGGTATTAGAACTTAACTCATTAGAAGGTCTAAAAACCTTGAGACAATCCTTAAAGAAGCTCTATCCATTTCTTACACAACCGAGAAGATGGCTTTCACCTCCAGCTTGTTCTACATGAAAGACTCCAAATCAATCGACAATCCTCCATACTTCAATAGAGCCAACTACCATCATTGGAAGAAATTAATGAAGCTATTTATCCAATCCAAAGATCTTGATGCATGATAGATGATCGAGAATGGTTACTATTCTCCAAAGAAGAAGACAAAGGAGTAGAGTGCCCAAGAATGGAAGAAAGCTCAACAAAATGTCAAGGCCATGCACATTTTTGTGTGTATTTGCTCTCGATGTCTATGAAGGCGTTACTTCTTGTTAAAATGCCAACGATATTTGGAATAAGCTCGAGGAACTTCATGGTGACAAGAAAGAAGAACCACCAAAGGTAGTGTTCTTAATGGCTCTTAAAGAGCCCAAGGTATATTCTAACTCTAATGACTCTGATTCATATTCTTTTGATGAGTTACAAGATGCATATGTTGAATTATTTTTGGAGTTTGAGACCATGAACTCCAAATACAAGAAAATGATTTCAAAACTTAAAGTCAAAAACGATTTTCTTTTGAAAGCAAAAGTTGATTTTGAAAAACAAAATGAAATTTTGAAAAATGATTTAAATCTTTCAATAATGAAAATTGAAAATTTTGAAAAAGAAAGTTTTGATTTAAAGGTTAAGCTTGAATGCTTAACAAAACAAAAGGAAATCATTTTAAATAATTCATCTAATTTTATAATGACAAAATGCTCACATTGTCATTATCATGGTCAAAAGGAACATACTTGTCATTTAAAGAAAGGAAAACGTTTTAAAACTAAACAAGTATGAATTCCTAAGGGAACAAGGGGCATTCAAACTAACGTTCAAGGATCTAAAGCAATTTGGATACCAAAATCCACATAAATGTCTCTTGTAGGTGTGTGGGAGCAATGGTGATGAAAGTGAAGATACTCAAATGCTCTAGCCACACTTGATATGGAATGGGTAACCTCTAAGCTTATTTTGATTATCTTGCACAATTGGTTGCTCATTTAGTTTAAGCATGCATGAATTTTGATTTAAATAATTTTATGTTTTTCTATCTCATGTATGTTAAAAAGTGTTGTGATGAACATTATCAAAAGTTTTAATGATTTTTCATAAATGTTTGTTCATCAGAATGAATTTTGGTCAAAATTGGTTTTAGTGCTTTATTTTTACAAATTTTAATTTTTGAACTTAATTTAAATTTTTATGCATGTGATTTATTGCAAATGATATCTCTCTAATAATTGATATGAATTTTTCAAATGCATAACATTTTTGGATAGCTTTATGTACACGCACTTAAATACAACAATCAGAATTGCATAAATTATATTAGACTTGGATATATTGAATTTCTTGTGCTACTAACTTGTTTGTTCATATTTGTTGAAATTCAATGTCTTTTAAGTTTCAAGCTTTTAAAGTCCAATTTTTGTTTGGAATGCATTTGTTGAGGGGGAGCTTTGATTTTTCAAATGATTTTATGCTAAAATTCTTACTTACTCTCCATTATTGTTTTGAACCATTAAATTTGAATTATTTTTTATATAACAAAAAGGGAGAAGTATAGGTATGAAAAATCTAATTTATCAATGAAAAAGGGGGAGCTTTAGGGTTTTCCAAATATTTATATTTTTCATGAAATATTTTATTAAAGGGGAGTTTTGCCAAAACAATTTTTCAAATGTCTTGTTATATCAAAAAGGGGGAGATTGTTGAACCATGATTTATAATATTTTGATATAAAAAATGAAGGCAAAATGTTTTTGGACTTGATTGAATTTGTTCAAAGTTTTCAAAAATAATTCAAAGTCCATTAAACTAGAATTTGAGCAT